ATTGCTTAAGATATAATATTGTCACGTTAAAGTTTTTATATTTAGTGAAGATTACAACATGAGGTTTTGATAATTTATTAACATCAGGAATTTACAAGCACCGGGAACTAGTCTGCGCCCAGAAGAACTCTTCTCTACAATCACGGGATCGCTTTTATACTATCTCAGAATGTTCTAGAAGCTTCCTAGGAACAACGAAAGAGGAAATGACGTAGACTGAACATTCCAGAAGCTTCTGGAATGCTCATAAACTAAATAGAAAAATGAGTGTCCGCTTCCCGGATCGAACCGAGGATCTTCGGCTTTATAGAAGCGAATTCTACCCCTGAGCTACTGAGACTTGACATTATAACCAAGTTTTTTTCCCTTAAATTTAGGAGTTTGATTTCATTTATATTTTCTCACGTATTTCCACTCTCTATAAATTTTCTATGTTTATCAAGAATTTAGTATTTTATTCATTTTCTATCTGGTCGTTAAAAAGGAATACTTTAACCTTTTCGGGGAAGAAAATTTCGTTCCAAAATTTTATTCAAGAAAAGCCATGACAATTGTGGTCATCGTATGCATATCCGCAATGAAGCCCTATGCTGTATCTTTACCCTTTTAAAAACAAAAAGTGGTTGATTTAAAACCTCGAGAAGTGGAGATAGAGTGTGTGCAGGATCTCGTTGAGTGTAAATGAGACTGAGAAGCAACAGTGCGAGTAGGACGATGACGCAGTCCTAAATAAAAATCAACAATTCAATGTGGACCATGCATTGAAGTAGCCGCGATCATATCACGTCCGCGGGTCACCAATATGGGGAAAGACCATTAGACAATGCCAACCTTCATCTAGCAAAAGGTACCTCAAGTTTGAATCAAGTTAGCATGTCGCTTTGAAACTAAACCGTTGTAACTCAAAAAAGTTGAAAAATGAGATTTTTGGGTCATTCTCTGTAAAAAAAAAAGTCACCCAAAGTCAAACTAAACCGTTGTAACTCAAAAAGGTCGAAAAATGAGATTTTTGGGTCATTTTGCGTAAAAAAAGTCACCCAAAGTCAAACTAAACCGTTGTAACTCAAAAAGGTCAAAAAGTGAGATTTTTGGGTCATTCTCTGTAAAAAAAAGTCACCCAAAGTCAAACTAAACCGTTGTAACTCAAAAAAGTCGAAAAATTAGATTTTTGGGTCATTTTGTGTAAAAAAAGTCACCCAAAGTCAAACTAAACCGTTGTAACTCAAAAAAGTCGAAAAATGAGATTTTTGTGTCATTTTGTGTAAAAAAAGTCACCTTTTTAGAAAAACAACCTGTTATCTTTATAGTTCCATAAAGTTAATTTAGAGAGCAATCGTCATCGCATTGCCGCGATTAGCATTAGTTTGAAATCGCTCTTCTGAAAAACTTGCTTTTTTGAGTTACCACGGTTTAGTTTCAAAGCGACGATATGCTACTGAATTGATAGTTTAATTATCGTAGTGGTAGATACGCCACAACTTCGTGGTTAATCAGATGAACGGACTGCTGCTGATTATTTAACATAATTTCAGAATTGAAATTCTGACAGTGTATTGATACGCAGTACCTAATAAATAAACATATGTGCCCTGTATACTTGAAGTGAACTGAAAATTAATCTGAAAGTAACAAGAAACTGAAAATTTGCACACTTTTGAAAGTCATTATCTGCCTTCGAAAAAACTAAAAAAAATGTGAAATTTACAGGAAAAGAATTCTTAAATATAGCAGAAAAGAGATCAATTAATACATCTATGATTACTGATACAACTTTTTTATAATATGGCCCTTGATTTTAAGATTGCAGGAATAGTTATAAGAAATTGTAAAATTGAGGAATTGTTATAAGAATTGTTGTCAAGATAAAAGTAAAGTGTTGTAAGAATTGTTGTGTTTTTTTTTTTTTGCAAAATTAAATGACATAACATTGTGTGTCTGTGTATATTTTTTGCATATTTTAATGCTTGAATTTCTATAATTCAGAAAAAGTATGGAATGTAAAATTTAAATAGTCATTAAATAATAATCATTAAATTTAGTATTAGATCATTAGATTAAAATATATTAGATCAGATTAGATATATTAGATCATTAAATTCAGTCGAGTGAATTCACTGGGATTAGGTTTTGACTCTAATTAGAAGAGTCTAATTAGAATTAGGCGCTGTATTTCAACAGGACAATGCCCGCCCTCATATTGCTAGGACTGTGCAATCCTTCCTTGCATCGCGGCAGGTACAGCTTCTTCCTTGGCCTGCGTATTCCCTGGATATATCTCCGATTGAACATGTGTGGGATTTCTCTGGTCGGCGTCTCACTCGTGATCATCGTCCTGTTGCTTCTACAGACGAACTTTGGGTACGCATACAAACAATATGAAATGCCCTTCCTCAGGCAGACGTTCAAAATTTGTTTGACTCCATGCCACGTCGTGTAACAGCACTTATTGCGGCGCGTGGTGGTTACACAAAATACTGATTTTGATCTCTTGTTATAGTTTGTTTGCTTTGAAAATTTAATCATTTATTTGTCCTACTACTATTCAGCTGTGTATTAAATTTCATTTAATTATGACGATTCCTTCATGGTGTTTCAATTTTCACAAACATGAGTTTACATATATTTTTTCCGTTTATTTACAATATTTTTCCAATATCTTTGGGAAGCTCCTCCTCTAACAAAAGAGATTCCGTCAACCATATCAAACATTCCTGTCGTGATATATCCTGTCGTTCATATCAAACATTTTTCTTTTTTTTTAATTTAATAAGCCACAATAAAGATGGAACTATACCATGCTACAATGAAGAAATTTCCAATGCAACGGATGATCGTGTTGTTCTACCAGCAGCCATTCGTCTCAAATAATAACGCCCCCCTATAGGTCGCTTCGCTCGCGAATTTCGTCTAGCCTATATGCTAGAAATTAACAGATTGCCTGCATCCAAGTTACAGCAAGCAGAAAAGCAAATAGCATTAAATAGGTAAGATGTTAGATGTTAGAGAAAGTGCAGTAATTTCTTTTTATTTAAATAGAGCTAAGAATTAGCAAACATCACATTAAATTATTTACGAAAAAAACAGGATTGTATACAGTAAATAATAAATTAATTGCTTAATTAAATAGATCTACGAAAAACACGGGGTTGTCTACAGTCAATAGTGAATCGAAATTTGGCCCCGTAGAGCCATTGTTTAATTTTCAGGATGGTTCCGGAATTATGAATGCGACATACAGAAAAACAAACTCTTCCTTTTTTATTATAGATATACAAGGACGTATGTATCAAATCAGCTTTCCTCTCCTTAATTTTTTTAACTTAATTATTAAATTTATTTCAGTTTTAAATGCAAATTAAACCTTAATTACATGTTCTATGAAGCTTAGGAAAGAATATGTTGATGAGTTTTTAAATCTGGACGAAGTTCGAAGTGCGTGTTAACGAAAATGGATATAGTATTTAATTCCAATTTTTTCCTTTTGTGAGTATTTTTTTCTTTTTTAAAGAATAAACTAGTCAGCCCAAATAAATCCGTTACCTGATATAGTCTATTGTCATAAATCACTAGGTAAATTAGTCTTTTTTATTAAAATTTTTAAAATTCAACAGTTGTTTTAAGAGCTTGCCACAGTTGCAATACACTTATAATAGTGGTTTTAGAAAACAAGAACATCGCACAGGCATATGGAAGAGAGAGAGAGAGAGAGAGAGAGAGAGAGAGAGAGAGAGAGAGTGAGAGAGTGAGAGAGTGAGAGAGAGAGAGAGAGAGAGAGATTTTAGATTTACATTGTAGGAATGTTGAGCTTTAAAATTCACTTTATCGTTTAGAATTCTGAATCTAAATACATCGACTGAAAAATTACATCTGCAGCAAACCTAGCCATCCGGACCCTAAATAACGGGATATTGCCCTGTAATGATTTTTTATTTTATAACCGTCGTTAAACAGCAGACACAATTTTTGGGTTTACGATTACTAATGCTCAAATCCGTAGCCTTGTAATTTTGAACCCTATCTAGAAGACAAAGGAACTCTTGGATCAAATAATGGGATAAATTTCACCTTCGAGGAGGACTTTTTGAGGGAACTCATCAGCATTTGAGTTTCATAGAGAGGATAACCACCAGAACCTCCCATAGTTTGCCTGGTTGCAAAGGAATTCTAACCTATGGTTCGTCTACACCTGAGGATATTTTACGTGAGCAATGTTTTCGGTGCAAGACGGATGCAGATTTGTTTCGACCAACCATCACTGGGATTCGAACCCGGTTCAACTCATTGGAAGGCGAACGCTCTATAATAGCCCTGTAATGATTATGCTTATAGTGTTTAAATAAGTAAGCACGCAATTTTCTGCTTAGTTGTTAAAGTTGGGTAGAAAAAATGCGCATTTTTTGCTGTGCCTATTTTCGAATACACGCAGTTAGAGCTGTGTACCTTTTTCTAAACACACATTTTTAGCATTGTCGATATTCGTAAGCATGCACTTGGAACTGTGTCCAGATAAAACTGACAATCAAAATAACATTTGAAATCAAAACTTGTTTAATTAAAATAGTATCTTTCATGCTTTTTTAAGGTATTGCTTTACAATTTTTTAAAATCTTTTAGTTCATCAATATCAAAACTCTAATTTTCTGGGTTTTCTGATATTAATTACTTTATTATTTATTTATTTTTTAAATTTAGAATGCCGTCCATGTCAATCATCAACTGTACTGCAGGACCATGGTTTCTAACATACGGATCATATATCGAGACCTGGAAAAAACTCTACTCTCAGTTTTTGTTGCCCAAATCTTTTCAAAAACTTTCTCTCTCCGTCGTAAAAAACATATATGTGTATAAATTATTGGTACTGTATGAGCATTATCTCCCAGCTTATGTTCTTGATCTCATATTTTCTCTTCAAAAAAGCAAAGTCAGGTATATTTGTCATTTATTTTGAGTGCTTTTTGTTTCTTAAAATGCAGTAACTATTTAAAAGGTTCTCCAATTTCTACCAAAATAATTTTTTTTTAATGTTTTATCCTCAATATTTTACATTACATTTAAGATGATACTCAAAAATCCGGTTGATTCAAATTTGGAAACACGCTGTAACGTTTCAGGCTATATAAATAACAGTTCTGTTTCTTATAAAAAACTTTTATTCACAAACAGCACAAACAGTAATAAATATGAAGTACCAGTATAACAAGATCGTTAAAATATTATATAACAAACTAGAAGAATCCGCAACGAGTTTTATGGAAATTTAATTCCGAAACAAAACTAATATCTCAAAAAATCAACAACTCTGTTGTTCTACAAAAAGTCTTCTAATTGGGTATAATATAGCCTACGTCACAGGTTGTGTTGTTCCTACTAAATTTAACCCATGAACGGCATTTTCTGCGAGCCTAACTTCAAGCCACAAATAAACAAACGAAGTGTTCGATCGTTTAAATAGCTGCTCGCCAGATTTTATTGCATTATAAAGAAAAGTTATTGAAACTAAATATAACTAAATAAACAACAACAACTAAAACAAATAACAACTAATAATAACAATAATTAAATAAACAACAACTAAATTCCATTCGTTTAGCATTGCGTCATATGTTGTTCCTACTAAATCGAAGTAGTTGTGTTTTTTTAATATTATACCCAATTTTATCGTCAGCTTTTATTTTTTTGTTTATCTCTTTATGTGTTTATTTTATTTTATTCATGCTTTTACTAGCCAGTTATTTTGTAATATTTTAACTTTTATTCATGCTTTTGACAGCCAATTAATTTTTTTATTATTTTTAGACTTTATAACGCTTAGCTAAAATATAAAATTGGAATGCTCTTTTCATTAATTCTCTGCCATTTTGCCTTTACTATTGCAAAATTTTATTTCTTCCTCAGCACAGCCTATTTAAATGATATGACCGTTTTGCCTTTGGTTATTGAAGTTATACAATTAGTATAATATATAATTACATATACGTATAATATATTATAAGTTAAATTAAAGGTTTGCAAATAAAATAAACCATCGGAAAAATTAAAGTCTCTTTTAACTCAACTGTTGAGGCCGATAATTTTCCAGATTAATTATATTTCCAATATTTGAGAATGTGAATCCATCATAGATGTCAAAGTATAGAATTTTTTATATTAATAAGAAATAGGAATTAATTAAATAACATTTCCGAGGAACTACATAAAATATGAAGATCGGTTATGAATTGAACCTTTTTTGTCACAATTGAATTGTCTCATTTCTTATAACAAACGCTCACTCATAATTCAGTGGCTATGTACTACTTTATAATCCCTTTAGCCCCTTCCTTCTGGCCCCCTTCAAAACAACGAGATCCTTATTTCTCATACCCGTGATATTTCAGGGCTGGTGTGATCAAAAGTAACGCAACAAAAAGATTAAAGAAATCTATTTCTTATGGCCGGAATCATGTTTCTCAATCTATGCACCAGATGGTAGGGTCAGACAATTTTTTATGAGTTTAAAGATAGGTTATTTCAAACTAAATGTCAGCACTCATTAAACATGTAAGCTAAAAATTAACTTAAAAATTAAAAATTAGCACGCATATTTTATATGAACTTGCCTTAATATAATTTTCTTGAATAAAAAAATGGACACTTTTATGACCGTTTTATTCAAGATTATGCAACTATTAAGGGGCTGGCAAACCTAGTACAATTTTATGGTTATGGGTTTCATAGTATTTGAAAATGAAGGGGTATATATCCTAACATTTAGAACTTTGCATGCAATGGAGCTCATGAAATCATCAGTTACTTTATTACTTTACTTCCAGGTTGGTGAAGTTGTATAAATTACTGGACGAGCAAGCGTATGCATTAAATTTTTTTACCAGCACTGAATTTGATTTTGAAATGGGTAATTTTATTACAGTAGAGGAACAATTAGATCCCAGAGATAAGGAGGTAAGATTTAGTTCTGAGAAAGGTATATTTAGATTTAGGCTATATCTGGCAGTAATAAAACACATTAAAAAAAACACGCATTTAAAAATGCGTATTTCTTTATTTTATTTAAATGAAACTTTTTATAGAAGTGTAAAACCAAGAGTCTGTCTTTCTCAGCTAAACGCATATTTGTTGTCGGAAGCTGCAAACAATAAGTTTTCACGAAAAGTTTCAAAATGTGATTATTTATATAATATAGTTTTATAAGTAAAAAAATATTAAACTTTTTTTTTATCAGTAACCAAAGATTTTGATTTTATTAAGTGATTTTGCATAACAAAATATAACTCAATAGTTTTTTTTAATTTTTATATTTAAAAATCTTGGTTGAACATCCCACTCAATTATGTTTAACTCCGTAGTCTTGTACTTTTGAACTCAATCCGGATGACAAGGGGACTCCTGATTCAAGCATTGGAAGAAATTTGCCTTCTTGCAGAACTTTTTTAATGGAACTAATTAACATTTGCGTTACATTAAGAGGAAAACCACGGAAGTCTCTCCCGATTAACCTGGCGGCAAGGGACTTCTATTCGATGATCCGTCTACCACTGAGGATATTTTACGTCAGCACTGTGGTCTGTGTTAGCTGAATGTGTAATTTGTATCGACCAACCATCGCTGGAATTTGAACTCAGGACATCTCATCAAGAAGCGAGCGTTCTATCCCTTGAGCAACCTTGATTCCTGACACAATAGTTTAAAAAAATTAAAGAAAATTAAAATAATCAAAATACATATCAAATTGTAGCTGTGCAATGAAAAGCCTGGTGCTTCTTGAAGGATGCTCAGAGAATATTAGGAATTTTATTATCTTCATTTACTATTATTTATCAAATTTTTTGGACGTAATTTTTTTTTATCAGTAGTGGTATTGCATC